AACACTTTTCACTCCCGCACACGTGTTCATTTGCTGACCCCATTGGTGCAATTTTTTCCAGTCTAGGCATGAGGAAAGCTGTTCACCCAGCAGCAGTCAGAAAGCTGGACAGGGCTAGGATCAGCAACGGCCAGACACATACCGCTCAGCAGGCTTCTGGAAGGGAGGGATCTTCCTCTCTCCAGCAAGGAAAGCAGGATGGGCGGCTTTCAGTTTCAGAAACCAATTAGGCAGAAACTGCTATCAAAGCAATAGAGAGGGCCCTACCCTAACTGGGTTGAGAAACACCAGGTGGTATTATCTCGATCATTTCGCCTGTTTCAACAACCCCACTCATTCCTTCTCCCCGAAGGGACCCAGGGTGCTCTTTTCCAAGGCTCTTCCCACACACCTACCTGGACACCACGCGGTATTAAACTCAACTGTCACCTAGACACCACAGGCTACCTCAAAAGCAGTCACTTTTATGTACTGGCTTGTGGAGTAGCAACTAAGAGAGAACAAACTCACAGATTTTATTCCTTCATGAACCACTTTTAAACAGCTATCATGCTCAAATGCCAGCAGCAGTACCACGAGTGAACAGTACACAGCAATATAGGTTTACCAAGCTATTGTGCTTTCAGGAGATTTTACAGTACAAAAAAACCCCAGTGAATCTAAGAAGAAAAGAAAAACAACGAAGCCCAAGTTTGGCACCACTGTAACATTCTTCCACAGAGTCCAAAATGAATTATTACAAGACTGTCCTTTAGATTTTGCAACAAAGAGTTTGTGTTCAACATCAGAACTAGCTAAAGCAAATAAAATTGCCTCCCTCACCCTCCAAGTTGACAAATTCTGCAGAACCAATTACAGAGACATGACAGTCACACATGGAGCAAAAAACTCTCATGGCAAGTGTTAGCCAAGACATTATTCACTGCAGACCATCAAGATAATTGGCTACAGTTATAATAAGTACTGCTGTCTACAAGGACTTGGTGTTACTTGAAACACTTATTTTCCAGAAGTTCAAGGAAGGGAAAAAAAAAAATCAATTCTACAGTCATTAAATGAAAATTCTTAAACTGCAAACTTTGAGACTTCTATTTTTATACAGATATTTTTGGTTATGTGTTGCATGACTGCCCCTTATATTTCAGGATTATTTTTGTCCCATTTGAGAAACAAGGTACATCTGGAAGTAATGCAAGAGCAACTAGGTGAAGAACAAAAGAAAGCTTCCAGCTCATATCTCTTCTCACACTACATCGAGCAGGTTGATAGTATCAGCAAGTGGAGAACTGCAAGTTCAGCTCCCTCCTTTTGAAGGATAGGCTCAACACAAGGAACACACACACACTTTTTTTTTTTCCTGTAAAGCCTACAAACCAGCAACACTGACCCGCACAAAGAATACCCTATTTGAGAACGACTTCAATGTAAAAATCCATACGGTGGATTCTCTATAAATAGAGAAATAAAAATAGTCAGATTTCAGAAGGTGGATGTATGGCTTGAAAGAGATACATGAAGGCCATAGGGTTCCTACTGTTGTGGGGATGTTAAAACCTTTGTAACACCCCTTACAGAGCAACGAGAGCAATACACGAGAAGTCATCTTTCCCAACAGTCAAAGGACAAGCAGCTGTTGGTAATCTCCCATCCTTCCCTTTAAGGCTCATGTTTTCTTACCAACTTCTGAGAATGAAGTTTCATAAATCCAATAAATTACACAGCAAAGAGATGAAAAATCCTTGCTCACCCTTTCTCCCCCATATACCTTGGAGAGAAGGGCCATCGCAGCACGGTTCTAGTAGTGCTCCTCCCAGGTAACACAAGGAACAGTGAACCCTCCTTCCAGCATTTTATCAATCCCTTTCTCATCCCTTGAATCCATCCTTCCTAGGTAATTGTTGTAGCGCTCAGCCAGGACAAGCAATAGCTGCAGAGACACCAGAGCAGCAGTGACTTCATCATTTGATTTCAGTGCTCCTCCCGTCTTACAAATAAAACCAAAAAGGCTGACATTAAACAAGTCAGGTTCTACTCCCTGCAAAAGACCCACGCCAAGACAGAGGTTCTAAAGATGTCCAAGAGACTCAGAAGATACCAGTCTATCAATTTTTACCTATTTCATGAGGACTCTTCTGTCCCAGATTTAACTCAAAGGGGCTCAGAACACAATTGAGTATCTGTAGATATACATATATATATATATATAAACAAAAACAAAAGAGCCGACCAAACTCTCTGTTCACCATACAAGCACTTAATATCTGTCAATAGATAGCTTGCTACATCATGTTACAAAGATGTTACCAAGACTCCTGTTAATCAGCAAAGGACCACCTTTTTTGACACCTTGGAATTTTTCTCACTTAAAAAGAAAAAAAAGAAAAAAAAAAGTTAACTTCCCAGGCTGTCTTACATGGATGGATTAACTGAAAATAGAAACTGCATTTCCCACAGAGTCCTTGAGTGTGGTTCTGTTGCTTTGTTCTGACATTTTTTTCCAGACAGCAGAAGGACCAGGAGCACATGACTAGAGCGACTGGGGGGGTTATCACAAGTGCATGCGCTTTATGCTACGGCCTTTGTTTCTCCCTCAGTGTTATACACTTGGGATTGAATCATATTTGCAAACTTGTAAGTCTGCATCAGTTAGCACCCTCTTCACAGGCAAACATCTGTGTAGTCTCTGACCTCAAATAAAAGGGAAAGAAGCATCAATGACCTTTCAAGAATCAAACTGCAGTGCCTGAATAAGACAAATTTAGTTGCTGAGCATGACAGGTTGAGGTCTCGCTTGCCACCTGCAGAAATACTGATCAACAAGACCTGCTTTCCATTCCACAGGCATGTAAAGTAAAGCAATAAATTAAAATGGAGTCACCAATGTTTTTTCCCAGCACAAATCAGCAGTCCTTAATAAATGCTAATGTTGGAGCGGATCAAACATATGCTCTCATGCTGCTAATATGGGTTAACTGCACTCATGTTTTCTGAACTGCTGCTGGCACACTGATCATGCAGATACAAGGTGGACTACAGACCCCTGAGCCAAATGCTCTCTTCAAAGCCTCAACCGCAGTGGAAGACATTTCAGTGCAGAAAAACATCAAGATTTCTGATCTGTCAAAAAGCTCACGGTCTCACAGCCCTTTGGCAGGAAATGCATAAACTATGTGATAGATGCAGGCATGCTCCCACAGAGCCATGTCAGGTGTGGCTGTACACGAGTATCAAATAGATCAATCGAATGGCAATGCATGTCGAGCATTCCCGGTCTCATAAAGATGTCACCCTGCATTTCCGCAAGAAAAAGGAAAGTATCTCTGAAAACTACACTGTTAATATGAATCCGGAAGAACAATTCAGTTGTTAATGTGAACATATTCAAATCCGGAGTTAAGAAATTCCCTAAGCACATAGCCGATCTTCAGCGGCACAGAACAGGGCCTTTTTGTATTCACAATGTACATTTGTTCAGATTTAATACATATTTTCAATTCACATACACCAGCTAACCCCACCAGCTAAAATACGAAGGATGGGCACACATTAAGGACAATTTCTGACATGCCTGTGCAGAATAAAGCACAGGCCTCATTATTAAAAATATTCCTCTGATCAGAAAATCGGAGAAGGAACGCCGAGCTCGACATGTAAGCCAACAGACTAGTTATTTCAAAATAACCATTTTCCCATCCCTTCTATTGAGTATTTTGCCAGAGCCTGGAGGATATTAGAGACACCTTTTGTAAGATCCCCTCCCCCTCCCTTTTTTTTTTTTTCTTTTAATGGCTGGACTAAAAGGTGCTCACACCCGATCTACGGGTGCATGGAAAAACCTTCCATGCTCTCTCCCCTTCAAAGCCAAGAGAGCTTAAAAAAAAAAAAAAAAAAAAAAAGCGCCATAATGAACGTGAATGATGTCACGGTCCCATACCTGTGTGCCGGCAATTCGTTTCCCTCCTCTGTCGAGGAGATGATTTTTTTGGTTGGGTTTGGGAATAAAAAGGAAATACAGGCTACGGAGCTCCCAATCCGTTTCACAAAGGGGGTAAAAAAATGGCTTTTTAACGAGCCAGAGGCCGCTGGCAGCGACCAGGAGCTAAGGACGAGGACAAACCCACCGGGATTTTCCGTCCAGCAGGCCCCGCACGGAGCGGCGGCGTGCGCCTATTCAAGGTTAATGGGGGGGGAAGGGGAGAGAAAGGAGCCGCCGGGGCTGGGGCCGGACTCCCTTCGCCGCTCCCCGCCCGGGCGAAGGGCGGGGGGAGCCCCCGCGGCCCTCACCGCCCGATCCGAGGGGGGCACGATACTCACGGCTGACTTTCATGCTGCCGAAGGCCGAGGGCTGCTGCACCGGCTTGCAGCTCTCCGCGAAGGAGGTGGTCCTGGGCCGCCCGGACATGGTCTCCCCCGCTCTGCCCCGACGGCGATCACCTCTCTCCTCTTCCTGCCTTCGCCCTCCGCCTCGCCCCGGCGGGCCCGCCTGCCGCTCCCTCGGTCGCTCAGCTGCAGGAGACGGGCGGGACGCGCCACATGAAACGCCGGGACCCCCCCTTCCCCCCCCCGGGGAAGCCCCCTCCCCTCTCGGTCTCTGTCGCCCGGCGGCTGCTGCTTCTTCTCCTGCCTCCTCCTGCTCCTCCTCGCGCCGCCCGCTCCTCACACGACCATCCTTCCCGGCCGCGCCGGTGGGTCCGAGAGCCGCCTCCCCCCGGCGCCGCTCCCGAGCGAGGTGGGTTCACTGGGCCTCGCTGCCCCCACCCCGGGCGCCAGTCACATGGGGCGGAGGCTCGCGGCCCGGCTCCTCCGATCCCGCCGCCGCGCTTCTCTCCTTTTATTTTATCTCTTTCCTTTTTTTTTCCTTTCTTCTTTTTCTTCCTCCTCTTCCCTCCCCCGTCCCCGCTCCTCTCCTTCCCCCTCGCCTCTGAGGGAGGCAGCAAGCAACGGGACTATTTTTTTCTCCCCCGGCGGAGGGATCTCGAGGGTACCGCCGAGCGGAGGCGATGAGGCTACTGCTCGCAATAGGATCCGGCGGCGGCGGCGGGATCCGCGGCGCGCGGAGGGGGGTGAGGCGGTCCGGGCGGCCTCGCTGCTCGCTGACGCTGATGCTCAGTGCGGCGCTGTGGTGGCGGTGGCTCCGGTGGCCACGCTGCTCATTGCGCCCGCACGGGCACCTGGCGGCGGCTCAGGCTGGGCACGCTGCACTGCGGGCGGCGACCGGCGGCGGCGGCGACACAGGCCATGACGGCGGCGGCGGCTTCCCTGCTCGTCTTTCAGCCCGGCTTCAGAGCGCTGGCGGCGGCGGCGGTTGTTGCTGCTGCGGCTGCTGCTGCGGCTGCTGCTGCTTCCCGAGGCGCCCAAGGGACGTAGGACTCGCGCGCCCGGCTGAAGCCTCCCGCCGGGCCCCCCTCCCCGTTCCTGCCGATCGGTCCCTTTGTCCCCGCTGCTGCCTCCGCTGCGTGCCGGGCTCCCGCCGCTGCGCTCTGTGCGTGCGCCAAAGCCGCGCAGCCGCCCGTGGCTGCCGCCGCCCCACGCTGCGGAACGGCCGTAAGTGCCGTCTGTGAATACCCGGCCGAGCAGCCCCGGCGCGCCCGCGAGCTCCGGCCCGAGGCCCGCACGGAAACGCCCGAGCCCGCTCGGGACCAATCGCGGGGCCGTTACGGGAGTGCCCGTAACGGGTCGTGACCAATCGCGGCGCCGCCGCGGGCGCGGCCGATGCTCCCCGAAGCGGGGCGGACAGCCAATGGGAGCGGGCCGCCGCCGCCCTAGCAGCGCGGCCGGGCGGCCAATGGCAGGGCGGGCTCCCTTCCGGCTATCGCAGGGCCAACCCGAGCGGGGCCGGGGCAGGACAGCCAATGAGCGACCGCGATGGCTCCGTCACACGTCTCTGGGACGGCTCCGAGCCGCAGCCCGGGGCGGAGCGCGGCCGCGGGCTGCCATTGGCTCCCGCGGCGGAGCGCGGCGATTGGCTTGCGGCGATGAGGCCGCCCGCCGCGGGCCAATGGCGGTGCGCGCGGGCGCGGCCGCTCCCGCCGGGAGCGCGGCCGCTCCCCCCGGCCGCTCGCCTCTGCGGGGGCCGGGGCAGCGCCGCGCATGCGCGGCCGGCAGCGCGAGCGGACACCGCCCCTCGGGCGCGACCTCGCGGGCCAGCCCGCCGGGAGCGCGTCTGGGGCGGCGCGAAGGGAGCCCCAGAGCGGCGGGAGTTGTGTCTAAAATCCGTCAGGCACCGAGGTGCCGCGGTCCTGCTTCGTCGAGCTGTGAAAGACAATGGCGCTGACGCGCACAGTGCTGTCGCAGAATCACAGGATGGGTTGGACCATCCAGTTCCAGCCCCGCTCCACGGGCAGGGGCACTTTCCACTAGACCATGTCACTCCAAGCCTCATCCAACCTGGCCTTGAACACTTCCAGGGATGGGGCATCCACACCTGCTTTGGGCAACCTGTTCTAGTGCCTCACCACCCTCACAGTAAATTTCTTCCTAAGATCTAAACTAAACCTACTCGCTTTCAGTTTGAAGCCATTCCCCCTTGTCCTGTTGCTACACGCCCTTGTAAGCAGTCCCTCTCCATGTTTCTTGCAGGATCTCGTGTCACCCTTAGGCCTGTGGTGTGACTAGGGGGGAACAGCCATGGACGTGGCACATGAATTGATGGCAACCCCTGGATTCTGCAGAAGCTGTGCCAAACGGGGGAAAGGAGATCGAGGCTCTCTTAGAAAGTTCTCCCAGTTCAGCTGTTAACAGCAAAACCTCCTGACAGCAAACACAGTTTGTATTGGAGCCACTAAACACCCTCATGGCCAGGTCTTGCTGCCACCGTGGGTCGATTGAGCTTGGCCCTGCCTAGAGTTCCAGGCATGCCAAGTTCCAGGTTCTGGAAGACCTTGTACTTCTTCAGGGCTTCTCTGAAGTATCCCCAGGGGCACCAGTTCTCAGCCCTGGCAAAGCAGGCGCTGGAGAACTGCTGCATGCTGTGACCTCAGTAAAATTACTCAGCAGACCTCAGCAAAAATTGAGCACCACTTGCTTATGCCATTAAAAGAAAAAGTGCTCTTGCCAGAACAGTTTATACCACAAACAAAATAACTTGGGCTAGCAGAAGCATATTTTGCCAGTGTTGGAGACTAACTAAGAGCTGCTGTTCTCTTTTCAAGGCATCAAAATATTGCCAGATTTCCTTTTTTTCTAGCCCCCTTCTGAATACCATTGCTATGTGAGCAAACACAGACCTGGCCAAAGGCAGCTAAAATTTATCCTTTCTAAGAGCTGTTTTCCAAAGCAGAAAACAAACCCCATCTCTCAAAATGGTCCCGTTCAGCATTTTGCTTGCCCCAGGCTGCTTGGTTTTCTGGAAGCCTTTTTTCTGCCTCCTAAATGATGAATGGTTTTACCTACTACAAAGACCATGAGATCATTTAAGGTTTGATTCTTCATGACCTACCTGTGCAGCTGGGAACCTGGCAGGTGAGAGTGGTGTTCCCTAACAGGGGCTAAAAGAGATGGTCTGAAGTCACTACATCAAAGTGGTACTGCAGCCACCCCAAGCCACCCTACTGTACTCATCCTTCTGACCCCCCCTCTGAGACACCACTGTGTCAAACATTGCTGAGACACACTTTCAATAAACTGCCAACAGTGAAAATTACATTTTCTCTCTTATTTGGTAGAGCTGTTGTTAAAAATTAGGGCTACAGATTGGGTTAGTTCCCTGAAGAGCATTCTTACATAAAAAAGACAAATATGCAACCAGGCACTGGCCAGCTCTCTTCTACCTGAAATGCACAACCAGGCATTCCAGTCATGAGCTTGAAATTATTTTTTCTGGCCTTGAGCATCAAAACACTAACACAAGTCACATTTTCTTACTTTCTGACAAAGTTCTTTCAAACAACTACGTAAACAGCAGAACTGACTTAGAAGAGACAGCCGAGCTTTGTTTCTTAAAAAAGTTGGCACTCAAAAAAAGCGGGTGGGGAAGGGTGAGCTCTTTGCCTTTTAGCATTTGCTGTTACTCATAACAGTGGTAAATAAGAATCAGACCAATGCATAATTTATACTGATAGTGTCCATTTGAAAAATGTCCCTTAAAGCTTTGAAACGAGTCTACAACCTGATAATAAAAATGGGAAATCAACTTCATTCACTTACAGAGAACAAGGTTACTTCAGGAAAACAACTTCATGCTTGTCCTCCTGTATCTAGTATAGCCTTTCCCTAAAATCACCCACTTTCCTCTTCAGTACCAAACCAATCAAAACCACAACTTGGTTGCTGCTAATGACACTTTTCTGAATACCAAATCTATCCATCCATTTGGGGAATGCATATTACAAAAATCACAGCTGCAATGTTTCGTATTAGGCAATCTTGGCCATATTTCCAAGTAATAATTAACCAACCAAGTCTCCAAAGCCTGTCCATTCAAGTCATAGCATCTTCTCATCCACCAGGAAACCACACAAGTGTGCTTTAAAGGAGGATTATTATGTATTTGAAGGGATGAGAAACTATAAAGCATCTCCAATTTCTGTTAGTCTTTTCATAGATTGTTTCCTTAGCTAAGACTACTTGCAGAAAAACCCTAAACACACAATAAGGGGATCTGTTAAGCTTTCATCCTCAATTTCAAAAATGGACTGGCTGACAATTAAAATCATTTTTGAGAGTCATGAGTGAGCTGGTTGCTTTTTTAGACTGAAAGATTCTCTTTTGACAACATTGAAAAGTCCATATTTATTTTGTCCCCTTGGCTGATGAAATGACCTCTGTTTAGAATCTGCAAATATAAATAGAATTGATGTTTTGATGATCAGTTTTCACAAGCTGTTATAACCCAGCATCTCAGGCATTAATATTGTTCCAAATCGGGATGCATGGGGCACTTTTACAGCTGCTCTGTTTCTGTAACATCCAAGTTCCCAGGGAGGCTGCCTGAAAATGTGAAGCGTCTGATAGAAAGTACTGAAGTGTTGTCTCTCTGAAATGCCATAAGGTGGCAGTGAATTGGAAAATTGGTACAATGTCTGGGTAGAACAAAGCTTTAAGGAGCTCAGTAGAAGAGGAGGGGAGGCTTTTTGTTTGTTTGTTTGGGGATTTTCATTTGTCTATTTACATTTCATATACCCCCATAAACTTCAATCTGAATAGGTCTGCTCCAACATGAACCAATAGACATGTTCCTCCACAGGGAACTCCTGCTTTTTCTTTCTCCATTGCTTCCTTTTTGGGTGATCAGTAGGAATATTTTCTGTTTGATTACCTTGCAGCTCTTGTTGGGTCATTCCACCAAAAGTCATGGCGACAGGGCTACCTCCTCTAGCCTGATAAGGATGCAATCATTCAAGGCTGTTTTGAACTTTACTGCACTAGTGAATCAAAACTGTATTAATGGATCTACCAGTCTTGTATCTAATTCCTTAATATTGCCAGGGCAATTACCCACAGAGCAATTTAGTGAGATATTGTAATGGCTTGTCCCTTGTTTGAGTGGCATGGGCAAACTCAATATTAATGGTTGAACTTTAACTTTGATTTTTTTTCCAGTGGAAAATCAGAGATTGTAACAGTAACAAATTTACTGAGTGCCCAGGCGTTAATGATTAAACAATAAATCCTGAAAAGTGGTTTTGATTTTTGTCCCAGAACAAAACCCGAAGGAATCTACGTTTAGAACGTACCAGTTGTATCCATGTTTCTGAGCAGGACAGAAGTTTTTAATCCAGAGAACCCAGTATTTTGCAATCATTTCCTGTCACAAAATATGTCATCACCAACAATTGCTTCAGAGGACAGCTGATGTTTTGCTGATCTGGATGTGCGTAGGTGCACCCAGGCCTTGCAAGTCTCCAGGTAAGTTTGCCAAAACTGATAAAGCCAAGTGGTCTCAACAGGTTAATGTAGCAGAAGTTACAGACAACTTCCGTATTCCAAATTTGCAGAGGAGTTGAATGAGCAGAGACACCAAATGCAGGTTCATGGCAATATTGCGACACTTGAAAAACGTCAGTGACTCCATAAGCAGGAAAATCCGTCCTTCTGTGGAATTAAGTCCTCCCTGCTGGTGTTCTGCACAGGTTTAAGGTTGGTTCTATCCACTGGCTCTTGACAGAGGCATCAGGTTTCCCATTGTGCCAGGAGAACATCCTGTTCAGTTTGATGGTTTCCCTTGCCCCAGCATTTGTCTCACCACACCCTCTTCATAAATAACCCTGGAAAACCATGTTGTCCAGAGCCTGAGAAGCTCTGTCAGTCCAATGAGCTTTTGACAAGACTTCCAGATACTTGCTTTCTGGAAAGCAAAATTTATGCCCACTTCCTTAGACATCTGAAAGGGTTCAAATTAGAAAAATTATTGGACTCTTCTATGTGTATCATCTTGCTCACACTAGATTCAGTCAAGCAGCCCAAGACTGACATCCATTTGCTCTCTCTGTACTACAGTATTGGTGGAAGGGCCCATGAGTGTCCCATGCTTACTATTACCTTGCCTCCCCAGTCAACTTCCAAACTGGCTGTTGAGGAGACTTTCAAAGAAAAGAGAGTGAAAGCCAACCTAACTCCCGAG